ATTCTTTCGATTCATTGATAATTAACTAAAATCAAAAATTTTATAAAAGAAACCTTAACAAAAAATACATTGTATTTTCTTTTTCATTCATATTGTTATTGTTGTTGACAATTTTTCGGTTGAGTTGTATGAAATTGTTTAACTCTGTTAATCATTAGTATAGTTGCTTTAATCAGATGTATTTTTAGTTCAAAGATAAAAGATATCAATTCGTTCTTTTTGGCAAAGTTTAACTAAAAATTCTATGTCTTACAAGCATTTTGTATTCACAAGAAAATATCTGTTACATTCTATCAAATATCTTCATTGAATTTTATCGATTCATAATAAAAAAAGTTAAGTAGCTTAAAGTAACTGCAAATAACTTCAAGTAATATGCTAGAATCATTGTATATAGAAGACCGTAGTTTCCAGTTGTAAAAAACATGAAATTTTGTAAGGACTATCACAAATAATTTAAAATGACATTCGAGAAGCATTATAACTTCTTTGTACACTGTTTTTATAATAATATATCAGTTTATTTCGAACAGGACATGTCTACATGAGACAATGTTTCTATTAAAAACTTCAAACATAAAAAAAAGAGTATCATGTTTATGCTTAATCTACAGCGTTACACATATTTAGTGTTTTGTTCAATATGTTCATCGATATTATACATCGGCCCTGTGGCCTAATGGCTATGGCGTCCGACTTCGAATCGGAAGATTGCAGGTTCGAGTCCTGCCAGGGTCGTTCTTTTTTAGTATTCAGTATACATATAAAGTGACCTTAACATCAACTCCTCCTTGTTAATACGCGATATGAAGCATAATATTTATATCGTTTAACATGAACTTTTATTTTTTTTACTTGACTGATATGCTGCTCAAAAGTTAGTTCTTTTTATTGTCAATAATATTAAATTCTTTCAAAAGAAATTGTTTGTCGTGCATTGAAGTATCAGTGAAATAGATGTAGAATACTAAGAGGCTTATATATTATACGCCATTCATTAGATTTAACTTTGTATAAGAACGTTGTTCTTTTCCAAAAACTAAGTTTCTTATTCAAGTGAAAATAGATGTTTATTCAACTGAAAATTATTATGAAAAGTGTTTTAGAGTATAATTAGCTTGAAAACAATCAACTAAGCATAATCCAACATTTTTATCAGTGGAAGATGAAAGTCGTACAGCATCCTCAACGAAGATAATAAAAGATAAAAGGAACGCAAGTGACGGTTCATAGGAGAACATGAACATCCTCATATAAATATAAAGGAGAATAGGCAAATTAGCAATAAAGAATTCATGATAAAACAAGAGAAAAATACTTGAAATTATATATATATCCCATGCTTGATCTTAAAAAGAATAAACAATATGTGTTACTGATCATATAAGTTGATTCTTTTTATTTATTCTCAACATCAACAAATTTCGTATACTTTAACAAATGTAAAAATGTGTATCGATTCGATCGAACACTTAAAAAAGGAACATAAAATGATCGAAATATTGATCGTCTAAAAAACAAAAAATAAAACACTTATTGAAACATGAAAAAACAAATCTATATTTTCTTACTTTGATGGTGCTATCATTTTCATAGATGTTATTATTCTCGATTGTTGACTATAATTCGGTTGAAGTTCACTCGGATTTTCACTATCATGATCAATAATATAATCACATTGATTTAAATTCACCTGTTTATATTTTATTAAAAATACATTTTTTATTTATATTTATAAATAAAACTTACATATCGATCCATTTCTTCTTTATTCGCATCATTAAAATGATTATCTTTTAATTGAGTCGCATTTTTTAAGTCACTATAAGTTTTTGGTAATTGACCTCGGAATTCTGAACGAAGAAATGCTAATTGTGATCTAAAAGAAAAAAACAAAGAATTTGCAAATAAAATCAAACTATTGAATTACTTTTGTGGTAATAGAAAATGTGATGGAAATCGATACCAATCTTTTCCAATACAAATGTTTAAATGTCTATCTCCTTCCAATTCAAATGTTCTTGTTGTATTTGAATGAGTTAATAGACGAATTGGTGCTGAATAACCATCAACAATAGCTATTGTTCGAGATATTGATAATATTCCATGAAGAATTATTATTGAATAAAATAATAATGAACGAATATATAATACCGAATCACGTTTTAATTTTATTAGACGAACAAGACGTGGAATAAAATTCTAATTAATTTAAAAAATTATATATTTTCTTTAAATTAAAATTAATTACTTCAAATTGTTCGATACAAATAGAAGCCGCAAGAATTATCAATGGATAGATAGGAAAAATAAAACGATCTTCCTAATATCATATAATCAATATTTAATTTAGTTTTTAAATCTAATTTACTTTATGTGGTTGCATCCACAATAAACCCATCCAAAGAAGAATTGATGATACAAGCATTGTATATGGTATTGCTGCTTTACCTGATTGTATATAACGTCGATCAGTCCATATATCAATAAATGGCTAAAAGAAAATAAAAATGAAAATTTAATAAAAAAATAATAAATTTTCTTACTGTTAACATAATTCCAATAATAGCCAAAGGATAAATAATATTAAAATTGAGTAAACCATTTGTTATATAATAAGTCCATGGTTCAGTACCTAATCAAAAAGAAAAATGTATTGATTATTTATTTTCTAAATTAATTTTACCATAAAGAGTTGGACCATGTTTTGAAAATATATTATAACCAATATGATTTAATGGTGCTATTACTAATTTTCCATAATAATATGAATCAACTAAAGTTAATGGAACCTTTAGAAGAAAATATTTTAGAACTTTTTTTCTATGATTTTATTTTTTACTTACTAATGTTATTACACCGGATATTAAACTCCATTTAATAAAATCTAAATAACGTTGACGACGAATAAATATATCAATTGCTATTGGGATACTAAATAAAATAGAAAATAAATCAATTAGAAGAAGAAATTTCGAATACGAATTACCCAAGTACAGCAACATAAATCCATCCACATAATGATCCAAATGCAATAAAGAAAACGGCTAACTATGAACAAATATATTAAATTTAACAAAAAACGAATAAATATTTTAATTTTTCAAACCGGTAATGCATTTGAAAACCAACATGTGTAAGCAAATAAAACAGTATACATTGAAAATGAATTGTTAATAAAAGCACTACTACTTCGAAATAAAGCCACATTGAAAATTGATAAAGCAGCATAATTACGAGCAATAGAACTATTCAATTGTTTATCAATAGCACTTTAAAGAAACAAAAATATCGATCAGGAATTATAATATAGTTTCATTATTTGATTTATTAGAAAGTATACCGCTAACAGGCCACCTTTCAAGAGGATTTTTTCATCGATTTTGAGCTTGTACTCTGATCATATAGAAGAAGTCTATCGATCATCGAGAATACTGAGTTTATGAAATACTTAGTGAAACATTTGAGTTTACAACTTGAAGTTCTTTTGACTTGATCACTGCGTAGATTTTAGTATGTCCATACATTCAAAATATGAGCTTAAAACTATTAAATCATTTCGAGCAATTCTCTTGTAAGAAAACAAGAAGTTGTTGTTGTTCTCTTTGACTAAATTTAAGCAATATCTGGACATATATAAAGACTAGGTCTTTTGATTTCGATGTATCTTGTAGAATTAAATTAAATTTTAATTCCGACATTGCTATAGATAAATATCTGTATATTTATATTCAACACTAAATGCAAATCTCCGTTATTTATAACTGTAGTATTTCAATCTTCAATTTGTTCATTTATGACAAAAAGAAACTCATGTATTTGTCTTAAATAGACTATTTATATAGAATACTAACCGAAAAAAGAAAGCTTCACACATTGCACAAACAATTGAAAGACAAATTCGTAGAGCATAGAATGCAATAAACTAAATAATTTTTCGAATAAATTCAGATTTGGAATATATATATCTTTTGAATAATAATCTCACTTTAAAACTACTAGGAATAAAAGCAATGGGTAACCAATGAAGTACAATATAAGCATAAGAACGTAAAGCAAATAACGGTGAATATTCCCATGTTTGAAGACCATTTCCATACATTAATTTGTGTAACTGAAAAGCAGCAAATTCTTTTTCAATTTACTTTGACAAAAATCCTTTCGATTTTTCTTACAGGTTCATAAAAATTGAAAACTTCATCACAATCATCAATTGGATTGAAAAATGCACTTATTAATCTGCTTAAAATTAATAATTTGAATACAGATGGAAAATTTCTCATCTGTTTCTGGAATTGCCATGAAAACATCTACAGTGAAGGATCTCTTTTAGGAATTTTTGTTAATATATATTTTTTTTCTCTTCTTGTTATCCAGTGTAATGAATGAAAAAAAAAAAGAAAAACGATAGAAGACACAAAACGCGTTACATAAACAAAAGACGAGACGCGAAGAAGAAGAAAAAAGAAACAAAACAAAAAAAAAAGAAAACAGAACGACAAGACAAATAACAACAAATAAATATTTCTCTCAAAATATTTTATCTTTCTCTCTAATTTTTTTTTAACAAAGTTTATGAAAACCTTCATCTGACATCTCGCACATATACTGTAGAATAGAGGCCTTTCAACAAAAGAAAACAAACGAGAGAAAAGAAAATAATATATGAGAGAAACATTTGTTTATTTGTTTTTTTTAGAGACACGTTTACTAACGAGTCTATTATAATGATGATGATGGCAATTAAATGAAAAAAGAAAACAAGAAATTATACCTAATGAAAAGAGAGAAAGAGAGAGAGAGAGAGAGACACGCATAGTTTTTGTTGTCTAAAAAAAAAGAAAAGAGAGAAGAAAAGAAAAAGAGAAATAGAACACGGACTAGAAAGAGAGAAGAGGCGAGCGGACACGTCATTCCGGTGGGTGAACAATGAGAGGCTAAGACTACCACGACATACGTATGGCACAACATCGATAAACAAACAAAAAGATAAATCATGTTTATAATGATGGTTCATGTAGAATTTCATGTTGTTGTTGTTGTTGTTGTTGGTGATTAACATGACTCATCAATTTTTGACGAATTTCCCGTATACGTTGATTTAATAAACGTTTTTTAGGAAATAAATCTTGATTTTCTAATTGAAACGATGATATTGCTGAATCTTTAGGAACAAAAAAATATTATTTTCAAAACAAAAACAAACTAATTGTTACCGGTGGGATAAATATGATCTTTTAAAAAATCAATCACTTTTAGTCTTGATGCTAATTGATTTTTATTTAATATTTGACTATTTGAACATATTGTAGCGTTTGTTTGACGATTTGTACTTGTTTTTATATAATGAGTTTTCATTTCTTAACAAAACAGAAAAAATGAAAATGAAAATAAAATAATTTTTGTTTCAATAAAATGAATACCATCTAAATATTTAATATAATCAATATTTGTACGTTTTATTTCACTTTCATTTTGTTCACAATTAACTGATGCTTTTCGTTTACGTGTTATTATTGGTGATAGATCATTACTACTACTACAATTAGTTGCACATCCACGTTCACTAATACTTCGAGATCGAGTTGTTGGACGTTGACCACACTAAAAATAAGAAATTAAATGATTTCTTCTATATTTAATAAAAACAAACCTCTAATGTAATAGTTTTTCTTCGTTTTGTTAATGTTTTATTAGTATTTGTATCTAATTGTTGTGATGTTGTTGGTATTGGTGATTGTTGTTTAGGTAAAATATTTGTTTGATATTTATTTTCATTAAATGATGTTAATTGTGTAACTTCATCATCTGTTGTTATTGGTAAATGAATATTTGATTCATTTATTGTTGGTAAATACTGAATTGAAATTTGTTTTAATGGTGTTGGAGATGTTTTACTTCGTTCTGATAATGAACTATTTGAACGTGAACTATATGCTGATAAAATTGTACTACTACTATCAAGAGAAGATGTTGATGAAGATGAACCACTTGAATAACCTGTTGAATTACTTGATGATAAAGATGATGATGATGCTAAAAACAAAGATTTTATTTTATTTAAATAAGAAGAATTGATTTGTTTACTAAGTGAATGTGTTAAAAAATGATGTTGAGAATTTTGAAAAAATAAATTTCGTTGTTGATGTTCATCAAGAGAAAAACGTTTAGTTGATAATGATGATTGATTAGAATTCGATTGATCATTATTACTGTTCGATTCAGTTGGTGATTGAGATGTTGAAGCTTTATTTGAATGATTTGTTGTTGTTGTTGATTGTAATTGTTTAAGATGTTGTTCAAGACTTTGATTTGTTTTACGTTGATTAAGTAACATTGAAACAATTGTACGACATGTTTCATTTTCAGTTAAAATTGCCGATGAAGATGAAGATGAAGATGAAGAAGAAGAATTTTCCGGTTTTAAATGTGGAGAATTTGGTAATGAATCACTTTTTTTCTCATTTTCATTTGAACAATAAGATGGATGAAGACGAAATGCTGTATTACGAAATTGAAACATTCCATTTGAACATACATCCATTTCTAAATTTATATTTACAAGTTTATTCAAATGATATACAGAGTGGGTCATAAATATATTTATTATCTCCATTAAAACGCGCTGTTTTTTTATGCCAATGATAGATAACCATTAACAAAATTTTTATGACTCACAGATGCGAAAAAAACTTGTACAGAATCGAATAATGTTCTTTTGAACTCTCCTATTAAAATCAATGAAGGGTTTCTATCAATGGCGTTGTTTGCGTGACCCATAATGAAAATATTTAAATTGTTTTTTCATTAAATATTTACTAGTGATTCAGAGTGTTCTTATTAAAAAAAAAAAAGATTGAATGATTGGATGAAGTGTATTAATGTAATAAATATGTGAATGTTTATCTTATTATTCTAATTTAATAATTTCATTAAATAAATGAGATGCAATTATTGTTTGATATTTGAATAAAAAAGAAAAAAGAAAAAAGAAAAGTTGTGATATTTCATTGAAGAAAAGATCTTATCATAATATTAATATAATCTATCCTTGATCTTCAAATAATATTTAATTTATTTTCTCCGTGAAGCGTATAATCAGATTGAGTTGATAATATTCTGTTTGTCTAATATACTTTAAGGCATATTCTTTCCTTGAAATAAATATCTGATAACATCCATATGTCGTCTCTAAGCCTCTAGTCATTTTCTATGATCTAATCTTTTTTCTTAGCAAATCACATATCTTCTAATTAAATATATTTACCATTATTTGAATTAATATTCGTATTTATTGTTGATATAGGAGTTGAATTTCCATGAATAGGAACAGGTGTTATAAGATTTGTTAATATTGATGTATTATCTGATGAAGGTTTTGTTATTGGTGAAAATCTTTGTGTTGATTCTTCTGTTAATTTCGGCATATTTGTACAAATCTATTTAATAATAATAATAATAAAAAGAATAGAATAAATAAAATAAAATAAACTAAATACTTGAGCGAATGCTTGTAATCTATCGCAATAAAGTGGAGTATTTTTTTCTTGATTTGATTGTGATTGTAATCTAGCTGATCTTCTACATTGTTCTTGTTCATCTTTATTTGAAAATAAAATATTTGAATTATTTAATTTAGCCGCTTGATTTGTCCATTTAAATGATGGATTTTGTTTTGAATGTTCATTTCTTAATTGTTTAGCACGTATACGATATTGTTCTTGTTCATTAGCTGATAATGAATACCATTTTTCACCTAAAATTTTTGAAACATTTCTATTATCACGATTTGGATTAGCTAAATGAATTTTTCCACGTTGTTCTTGAGAAAATAACATAAAAGAATTCATTGGACGACGTATATGTTTATCTTTTAATGATGAACGATTATTTGATAATGTTTGATGATAATCATCATTATTATTATTATTATTATTATTATTATTGTTATATGAAGAATTTTCATTTTCATTTTCATTTTTATTATTTGAATTTAAATCTAAATCATCTTCATTCATTGGATTTTCATCTCCATTTGATGAATTATTATTTTCATCATCTCTTGTTTCGTCTAAAAGTAAATAAATAAACTTATGACTACGATTGATTCTTTTTAAGAAAAATTTACCAGTTGATATTGATCGAAAACGATTTGGATCAATATTAATTGTTATTTTTGGTAAAAGTTCAGGCCAATTAACTGTTCGAATAGGATTTACTAGAATAAAAAAAAATGAATAAAAATTTTTTTTTAAATTTCAAAAAGCAAACCTTGTGAAGAGTCATTATTCAAAATATCTGATGTTGTTGAACGTGGACCTGATGAATAACCGTTTGAATGAAAATCATCATTATCAAATGCTACAAAAAACGAGAGAGAGAGAGAGAATAGAAAAATCATTGCCGAAAGTTCAAACTATATTTACAATTAGGTAATATAAATCTTGGTGATTGTTGAGAAAAGAGAAGTGGTGTTGTTGTTCGTGATTGTGGTGCTGAATAATAACCATGTGGATTAATCGATGAATTATTTGTAGTTAAAGGAAGTATTGATGGTTGGGAATGAATTCTATCAAAACTAACTGTTGTTTGTGCACAATGTTCTTGTCTTCCTTTTTGTGATAAATGTCTTGAACAAAGACCACGCCGTTGAGATTCCTTTGGACAACCATCTTTTGAACAAAGACGACGCCATTGTTTACCATTAAATTTTTTTCGTATTTGTGATTGTGTTGATGTCATAACATCACCTTTTCGATAAACAATTTGATTATAGATTGTTGTTGGAATTTCATTAGTTGTATTAAGATTATTTAATGATGAATTTGAATTAACTGTTGATGTTGGTTCTTTTATTAAACAATCATTTGATGTGACTTTAACTGATTCATTTAAAACTGAATGTAAACTATCATTTGATGATACAGATGATTCACGTGGAGATGGACTTCCATAATAACCTAAAAGACGATTCTTTAGTAATCGATATCAACAAATCTAATTCATAAACTAATGGAATTCTTTCTTATCTCGTCTATTAATTGAAAAAATAGTTTGTTTTAGATAAACTTCGTTATATTATGGCAAATTGATTATAAATAAACAAAATTGATGAGAAAATATTCTTAGTTGATTCTTTTTCTAATATATATTCTATAAATAGAACTTGATGAGATAGAGATTTATTCATTTTTAATGTAAACTATTTTAATAACTATGAAATCAAAATTTCTATTTATAGTTAAAAATAAAAATAAATATTTTAACTTTTTGCACTTCCTAGAAATTTCAATCTAACCTTGTCGTTGATTAATATCAGATGTATTATTAGATTTAAATGTATATGTTGCATCAAGTGCTGAATTCCAATCAACAGGAATTTCTATAAAAATAAAAATAAGAAAAAAAAGAAAATAATAATATAAAAAAACAAACCATCATGCCATGGTGGTAAAAACAATCTAATTGATTGTCTTGGTACACATAATGTATCTTGTTGATTATCAAATAAAATATTAAATTTCGCATCATCAGTTTTTTCCAAAATAATTCCTGGTTGATATATTGAATATTTCATATTTGAATCGCATTGTGTTTGTTGTCGACGACATAAAACATGTTTACCTGGAATTAATTCTCTTATTGGGGGTGCATTATCAGATATAATACCAAAAAGATTTTCAAATAAATTTATTTGAATTTGATTTGGATATAAATTATTATTATTTTGTATTGATGGTACAACAGTTAAATAACCATTTTTTGGAATATCAATTATTGTACCGGATATATATTCATTATTTCCTATTCGGACAAGAACTGTTATAGTTTGCCAATCTTGAAAATTATATTCACGAATTAAATTATTTATTGATAAAAGATTATCTTCAAAATAAAAACGAAAAATGAATAGAAGAAAAGTTTCATTTGAGAAATAAAATTACCTTGACTATTAGTATTATTTAATTGTTGTTCTTGATCATCATGATGATGAGCTAACCAACGTTTTTTCAATGGTTTAGCTTGTGATGATGATGATGCGGATGAATTATCATTTTGTTGTTGTTCGTCATTATTTGTTATTGTTGATCGTCGACGTTTTTCTATTTCTTGATTTGTTGGTGGAGATGAACGTGAAGCTGCAGATGATCGAGTTAACATTCTGTTTT